ACCATTGAAGTAGGAGCTCATGACTGTGAGTGCCATCAGTCTATCATGATGCCTTCAATTGTGAAATGTTTAACATGAAAGTTTTTATCGTGCTCAAAACAGACAATCTTCTATATATATATTTCTCTTCGTAGCCCATCCATGCGGGACACCACGATGAAAAAGTCATGGAAAGATAACTCTTTTATTTCTGCAACTCAGACTAGAGTTACCCCACGTAACTTTCGAGGTGACAGAGAAAGAGGCTCAGAAAAAAGAGGGTTAGGATATGCAACCTCGCGAGTCGTCTCGTTATCATTAGTGGTCTTCCTTTTGTATATTTGTAGTCCACTGGCAATCCCGGCCTATTTTTATATGCTTTTTATGCACTTACATTTGAATCATTTATATATCTTGAAAATAAGAAATCACATTATGACGCTCTATTTGATTGATAAAAATAAATAGTGAAACTCTATGTTTCGAGGACCAGCGTTACATTTTCGTCACGTTGCATTACATAACATTTACCTACATTTCACCCTTTCAACAATTTCATCTTGACCCTGACAAAATAGCTCAATATCACAACTGACTTTCCATGTGCTTAGCGGTTTTATCTCGTTATACAGTCCCATTGCAATAGTTCTCTTATATCCAGGATTGTCTGTTGTGTTCATTTCACTTAAACAAATGTATTCAAACAATTAAATAATGGCTAGGTGCCGGGTCGGATTTAGGCCATTGGAGGCCCTGATCGTGCTTTTTCGGACAACCATTTTGCAGTTTTTCGATAAAACTAGAATTGCTAGTTGTTGTTTTTTTCTTACAATGTGGAGGTTCCGTCTTCAAGGCGAGGACCCCCTCTTTAACGCGAGGCCCTATCTTGAAGTCGAGGACCCTGAAGTCCATGCCTTGGTCTGCACCGACTGCATTCTTGTAGATCCGGATGGGGCTAGCGTTGAAATTTTTTAAGGTTTGTATGTTTATGTAGGAAGTAAGAAGGTATCACAATATGGTGTGTGTGTGTTTATGTAGAAAGTGTGAAGGTATCACAATATGGTGTGTGTGTGTTTATGTAGGAAGTGTGAAGGTATCACAATATGGTGTGTGTGTGTTTATGTAGGATGTGTGAAGGTATCACAATATGGTGTGTGTGTGTGTAGGTTAGCACCTGGACACATAGGCTCTACACTGTCTCTAGGTCAGCGCCTGGACACATAGGCTCTACACTGTCTCTAGGTCAGCGCCTGGACACATAGGCTCTACACTGTCTCTAGGTCAGCGCCTGGACACATAGGCTCTACACTGTCTCTAGGTCAGCGCCTGGACACATAGGCTCTACACTGTCTCTAGGTCAGCGCCTGGACACATAGGCTCTACACTGTCTCTAGGTCAGCGCCTGGACACATAGGCTCTACACTGTCTTTAGGTTAGCGCCTGGACACAGTACAACCATAGACCTTTTTTTTTTTGTTGTACCCGGAACAAGAAATGAAACAAGGTCACGTGATTTTTAACCTGTTAGATTTTTCCTCCCATTATTCTCTAAGTCTTATCTCTTGAATACAACTTTGTGTTCTTTTTCTGTTTTTTTTTTTTCATCTTTGCATATGTTTGTTTCTAAGTACTTTCTACCTGTCTCTGTACATGAATCTCTAGAAAATAACAACAACAAAAAAACTGGGTTTAGTTGTAATTCTATATTTAGGTAGATTTTGAGAACGCGTTCATCTTGCTAATTCAGACCCAAAGATTTCTGAAAATCAAAATCAGCAAAAAAATGACTTTTCTGTATCTTATGGATGGTCGAAAGGATTGTTCTGTAGGGACACTAACCACATTCTGTTATTTGTATTGCTCGTTAGTTGATGGAAAGGAAAGATTTATCCAAACATCCGTCGCGTCCAAATAAATAAATAAAATTAAACACATCAATATGCGTGCAACATTGTCCCCCAACGATTATGATACTGATCTAACATAATAAGAAAACTGCTATATCGGGCATTGTTTAGCTGGCTTTGGTACGAACCTGTGGATCTTCTACGATTAGCATTGCCTCCTTCGCTTCTTTTATTGCTTATGGAATTTTGGTCTACTAGTGAGACATGATGGCATCGAAGGGAGTTAACTTGATCAATTATCAAGCTCTTGGATTCTCTCAGAGTGAATGGAGGCCTATTCTTGACTTCTAGAAAAGAGATCCACTATTCTATCAACGTTGCCGGGTTTCAGGTTTATATCAAGAAAAGTAACTCTGATGAAACTACCGCCCCCCCCCCCCCACCCCTTTTCATCCCGTTATGTTCGTGTCTGCGTTCTCCAATTGTCTATAAACATCTTCATTATTCATACAGTCACGTCATTCAGGGACAATAACTTTGAACTCCCTGTGCACGAGCAGATCAACACCAATCACAAAATTCACTCCCCTACACACAAAGGCGGTTTTCTATATTTCATTGGTGATCAGGTATATCCCCCCCACCCCCCCCAAAAAAAAACAGCTTCACCCACATACTACTAAGTAAAGAAAATGTCGCGATTTAGCTTTCAAAATGTCGTATTTGTGTTGATTTGAGTGGACAGGGAAGGAGATGGCGGTAGCAGAAGTCTGGTCCACCCGTAAATCATTGTGTGTGTGTGTGATGTTGTTTTCATTATCTCCCCTTTGGCATGGTTTGCGTCCTTTCTTTTTTGACTCCATGACTAAATGATGAGTTGTCTTGCTTTCTAGTTACTGACTGCGCATACATAGCGCGCATCCGGTATATTTCCTTTCCCATGATCCACTACGTTTTCTAGAGTTGAACTTTAAAGTTGCGGCAAAATGGAAATCAAACAACAGTTTTGTGCGTTTACTTAGTGTTAATTTGTTTTTATTTTAAAGGCCACAATCGCCACACAATCAGAGATCGCTTCCACAATACAAGAACATAACATTATTGAAACATTTGTTTTGCGTATTTTTAAAGTAATTATTTTTCATTAAAAAAGGAAGACATTCAGGAAATGGAAGTAGAGCCCACTATGACGCTAGGAAGACTCATTAGGTTCTAAAATCCAAACATGTAGACATTTAATTTCAGTCTTTTAAAAATGAAAAAAAGTTTTGAATGACTAGTTCTAAAAACCCAGCGAAGCAATCGAGACCGGGCCTCTCCATTGGTGAAGGCAATGTCCTGAACAATCTATTGAGCAAGGTGCGGGACGCGCCATTGTGTCTTTGGTTCATATTTTCCACTGTTCAGGCCAAACTCACGGCTCCCCGCTGAAGGGAGGATGAAGTGTTATTTTCCCTTGGACTGTCCCAGACTTGCTGAATTCCGTTTGGACAAAACTTGGAAACCAAATGCCACCTGGTGGCATACATTCATTGTGCACAACTGCAGGTCTTTTGACTAGGGCTTTCCAAAGGGAGGATACAAGCCTCCAATGGAATTTGATGATGACGATAATAATGATGATGATAATAATGATAATTAAGATGATAATGATGATGATAATGATATAATAACGATGATGATGATGGTGATAATGATGTTAATTGCTCTATTTGAATATCTAGTAGTCATGAGTATCAGGCATTCCATTGCAAATGAAGGCTACACCATTGTCCGAACCTCCTGCAAGACGGCTGCTGTAGCCAGGTTTTGGACTTGTGACCATCGCGTGGACAGTTCGTAGCGCACACATCCTCCATGGCTAATTTTTTTCCTCTTTCTTTCTCTTCGCTTTTATTATTTCAATCCCTCAACATTTGATTGTTCATGTTATTGTTCATTACAGTTTGAGCTTCTTGATTAGACATCGTTTAAAAACAAATATGTATGTCAGTTGAGGAAGTTTCTTTTCGTGGAGATAAGGTTCTCTCCATCACGGTCTACTAAGAAGTCTGTCTGTCAGTCTGTCTGTCAGTGTGTGTATTTCACCTGGATCACACCTGTGACGTATTGCTTTAACTTGTTCGCTTAGCGAGACACAGGTAAAAAAAAAAGTAAACATTACGGGTAGGTCCAGGTGGGTAACTTTGAACATTTTCAGGAGGATCTACTTGGATGTTTTCTCTCTCTCTCTCTCTCTCGCTCTCTCTCTCTCTCTCTCGCTCTCTCTCTCTCTCTAACACACACACACACTCACTCACTTTTCCCAACCTCCTCTTTATCTTCAGGAGTTGTTTTGTTTTTTTTAAGTTTCCATCTTTCTTTTTTTCTTTACTCTTTCATTCATATTTTATCAAGTCTGCCTGTCTTGTTGTTCGTTCTGCGCGCAGCTTTTTAACATTCTACTTTTGTTTCATCTTTCTATGCTCTTTTTAAAAAGCTTACTCAACTCACTCTGTCTGTCGGTCTGTCTGTCTGGTAAAAAGTTTGTACACAATACTTCTCCCACACTGATTCTTCGTCGAAGTTGAAGCTTAACACAAGTATTCATTGGCATAGACAAGACTTAAATCAATAAAAAAAAACAACTATTAGTCAACTAATTACTGGTAATTAATTATGATACCCACAAGTGAAATTAACCCTTTAGTATTTACATATACTAATAAATATCTAGAGTTTTGCCCCCTTTAGATAACTGAACACGATCATTGACTTATATGTACTATATCTAGACTGGACATGGAGACTTTTTAACACTACAAAAAAATTGTGAAAATTTTTTAGAAAGTTGGATCAAGGCGTTGTTTTGTAAAGTAGTTAAAAGAAGTAAAGCTGTTTTTTTTTCAACCCTAACCTATGTAACAAAAAAAATAATTTTTAGATCTAGATCTAGTAATTGAACATCAAAAATAAGAGTACTCTCGTCTCATAATTATTATTTTGCAATTTTTCGATACATAATGTAGAAAGATCTAGATAATAAATCTATTTAAATGTATGTAAGATGATTTAAATCAACATGAATTATTTCGATCTAGGATTTTTGAAACATTATCTCAATGGAAACAAACAGGAAATGGCTTTGTTTCATATATTTGCGTGAATATCCGAGAAATGATTTTGCATTATTTCTAAACTTTGAAAACTAAAGATCATTACTTTTCTAAGACTCCCCATAGCGCTTAAAAAAGAGTTTACGTACACAAAAATCTCTCTCTATATATATATATAGGTCTGTGAATCGATCAGTCGCGGATAAGAATTTATTTCCGGTTTCCAGTCTAGTATACTATAAAAGTCTATGAACACAATATTTTTTCTACACCCATTCTCGGATCAAGTTGAAACGTTAAACAATTATGAATCAAAAATTAATCAGCTTAAAAAAATATTCAATTAATTATTGTTCATTAATTATTGTGTTTAATATCGAATCTATCAAATAACTACTTATTAGTTAATTAAGTATAGTATCGTATTGATAATTAATAATTTTGCTTGGTATCGAACGAGGGAAAGAAATTGTACTTGATTGATTTCTCGGGGTATTAGTTGAATTAGTTCCCTTAATACTTTGTGTAGAGAATAAGGTCGTTTAAAACTAACAAGAAATAACTATACAATTTATTTCCATTTAACACTTCACTGTTTGTTAGAGTATTGTCCTAAAGAGGCTTGAGCCCTGGAGTTTGAATTCAAGTCAAGCAACTTTTTTTTGGTTATAAAATGCATTTCAAAAACGATCACGGTAACATTCCCCCAAGATACTCGCTTCTTTCTCCCCCCCCCCCCCAACCACCCCCACCCCTTTCCCAACTGGTCCAGACAATTGATAAGATCACAGCGCATTTAGAAAACTAAAAGCATGACATTTCGCTAAACAAAAACAATTGGTAAAAATATTTCTAATCACAGATTTATTATTGTCTGTCTAGATCTATTACAAATCTAATGACATGACTGGTCTAAACTAATTAATTACACTTTTTATAAACTTTGTTTGGTTATCAAGGTATTTTGTAATGACTTTTTACATTTTCTTTCTTTTTTTTTTAATCTCCTCTTCTCTTCATATTCTGTACACACTCTCTTTCTCTCTTCTCACTTTCCTCATCCTTTCTTCCTTATAGTCTCTCTCTCTCTCTCTTCTTTTCATTGCTGTAATATCTATCATCCAGACCGCCAAAATTTTAGCTTTCCACTGCTATATTTTCTTCTCAGTGGCCAGCGATATAAAAACCTAAGAAACAACAAAAATGTAGTTTTGTTTCGTATTTTAAAAAATCTCAACTCTGAGATTTCACGAATTCAAATACTTTGACGTCACAACTAATTATAAGTAAAAATAATCCAAAACTTTGTATCTCATTAAACGTTCACTATTTCAGGTGAACTCTTCATCTCAAAAGATCAGATAAGAAATTGCCATTTTCATTTTGTTGCAGAATATCTTACCGTCTGCACCGACCACTGCTCACAAGAACTCGTTTTTATCAATGGATCTCGAGTCAGTGTTAATTAAAGCTCAGATATTTTTATCCGGTGTGAATCACCGGTAATTAAAAAAAAAAAAAAAACATCACGTGACCTTGTGACGTCACACTGATTATACATTATAAATTAATTATCTGACCTTGTTATTTTCAATTTTAATTCCCAAAACTCCAATTATATTCTCGCGTGAGCCACCATGTCGGGCAATAATGTCATCTTCTGAAGAAACACAATTCAGTATGTCTTGACATCTCAAGGAAAAAAAAAGAGATGCAAATGAAATCTAATTTAAAACAACATTGAATTAAGATATGAATTAAAGATTAAAATAAAGTAAAAGTACCAGACAGTGGGAGGGAAAGTCTGGCTTAGAGCTAAACTGCTCGACTCCATAAACAAAGTCTTGAGTTCGAATCCTTTAAGCTAAATAGAAATCATGTTTTTGAGGGGACTCCTTGACTGCTCACTCTTGATGTCTACCTTAGTACGTGGCGATGCGCTGATGTACTGCCCACATGACACCCTCGTTAATATTTTACTTTCTTAAATAGTATTTAAAATAAAATAAAATTATAAATTTCGTTGACTTTAAAACTATGTGGCTCTCTATCAGCAGATCATTGTCAGGATTTGTTCTGATCTGTTAATTTTGAATCGCAACAATCGTTCTGTTGCCCATTCTTAACTCAACGCTCGACTATCAGGAGTCAAGATATCTAGCGCTTAGATGAAACTAAAGTTTCAAGAATTGTATTTTATTTTCGGGCCTCTTTGAATCTAATAAACCAACAGGCTCTCTAAAGAAGTCATTTTGGTGTATCCGGTTTACAAAACGAAAGTATTGATAACCAACGTATTGGTATAAGACTAATAATATTTTGTGCGCATTTTTTTTATTAACTTGTAGCCTAAAGAAACTTTTATTGGTAACAGTTCTCTTTCATTATGGGGTCCTTGAACTTGTTTACTTTGTCTCTTTATTTCAACAACAAAAAAAATCTACCAATCTTCGTCTTTAAATTTTCGTACGTTTTTCTTTCGACTCCATTATATCGCCATCATGTTTCGTCGTATCGCTTTCTCTTTTTCTTTCTCCCTTACAGCTGTGTATTGTTCAAAGAACGTGTACGTGTAATCAAAGAGCAGATTACTCTGATTATCTTTAAAATTAAAAATCCACGTTGATATGGTCAATTAGGACCATAAACTGATCGAAAGATGGCGTCTTCAAGAAATCAATAGATTTGTACCTCGTTTCGCGTTAAAGTGTGGAGCAGTTTAGGAGTTGGTCAAATCACGTCTGGAGTTGTTTTTTTTTTTGGGGGGGGGGGGAGCGCATGCAGGTGAAAGCTTACGGGGACTGTGTGAACGATTGTGTGTGAGTGTCGCTGAGCCGTGAGCTTGTTAACTCATAAAGAAGTACTCACGACGATGTGAATAGTGCCAAGAGACCGTGCGAGTTGGTGAGTCGTTTCTGTTGAGACACGGTGTTGATACAGAGCTCACTGGGTCAGGTATGAAGCCAGCGTTGAGAATTGGACCTCAACAAATTGTAGGCTCTTTGGAACGTTAGATCAAGTCTTTAGAGGCATGCACCTGATGTACTCTACAAACATGGTTTAAACCAGCGTTGTAAAGCTTCTACAAGTTGAATAGAGTTTTGGAATCACACTAAACACTCAGTGGACATGACTGTTGAGGATGGTGTTAAGGTATGAGTTATATTTGATGTTTAATCAGAATATGTGACAACGTCTAACATGTACGGGTTTTGTTTTTTTACTTTAAACTTTTTATCTATCTATCTATCTATCTATCTATTTATCTATCTGTCTGTCTGTTCATATCTCAAGCTTTCATGGTGTATAAAAAAAAGGTCCAACATTTATCCTGTTTCTCCCTATCAACCTCTCCTCTCACTCTTAGGTTCAACTCTCTTTGTATGCTCCGCTTGATGTGCTCATATCCTAGTAGTATAATCTCTCGGTAAGGAATCGAATCCATTTTAAATTATAAAATAGAAGAGTAGTGCTTCATAAGTAATGTTTAATTTTGTAAATTTATTTCTTTACAATTCTCTAGTCTCCTTCCCTCCTCCTCTTTCACTTTCTTTCTCTCTCACACACACTTTCTCTCTTTCTCTTTTTCTCTCTCTTAAACACACTTTCCTGTTCTGTTTTTTTTCACACACTTATCTGCTCACACACTCTGTCATCTTCTATTCTTTTTCTCTCTCTCTCTCTCTCTCTCTCTCTCTCATCTTTTACATTTTTTCTCTTTCACTTTTTTTTTTAAATCCCACTCTTGTCCTCAAAGACCCCATGAATTACCTTATTAAAAGAAAAGGTGATGCAAAGGCGTGCACCCCTTCGCATCTTCCAGCAGAGGGAGTAAGAACTCCCCTCGTGCCCTGTCCCAGAGTGCACCCTACACCCGTCGAGGAAGACAATCATAGAAGATGACATTCTGATAACGGGTGACACTAAAAATAAAAAGCAGGCCATATTCAAACGAAACAAACATCAGCTTAGGATCACATGATTGATACTGTCAATAACGATTGGTTCATAAATTTTAAACATGGCCCTCGCCCATTACTTCTCCCCTCCACCTGTTCTCCATCGATGCTGCTCCTGTGCACCCTTCTTGACCAATTAAAATTAGCGTCATGTACATATGCGTGTGCGTAAGTGCATGTTCTTGTCATGTTACCCCCCCCCCCTTTTTTTTTTTAAATCCAAAAATAAAATCTAAATCACGTGATTGGGTTTGGTGATGAAAATGTTGGAACCGGATGTCGTCTTTAAACTAAGACTGTGCTTAATGATGACGTCAATTCAAATTTTTTCAATCCCGAACTTTCATTGGCTCCGTCAGTTACTTTCATCAAGTTTTTGTGTATACACTTACAAAGACGTTCCACTTCTCGTGAGATTCAAACCTGACCCCGACTCCTCTCCCCTCCCCTCTCTTTTTTTTTCTAGAGGGAATCTTGGGTCACATCAAGTATATGCATACATAAATGTATTTATTTGTATTCTTCAATGCTCGGGTCGTGTCATCCACGTGTCATTCTTGGCCGAGATTTAAGCAGCTCAGTGAGCCTGTATGTGCTTAACAATGTGTGTATGGTATACACTATATAGACTATCACACATACACAGTAGTGGTGTTTGAGGCTAGCGTCAAGTTCACGCAATTAGAGTCTAGGTATACTGCAATTGATGGAGCGTGCTGGCGGAGTGATAAAGTGCTGGGTTACCGTAACGAGGGGTCACGGGCTTGATTTTCAGCAAAGCCTGGGACATTGAACTTCGGGATTTATAGGACGCCCCCGGGTCCACCAAACTTGAACGGGTGTCTGACATTCGTTGTGGAAAGTAAAGTTGTGCAGGCTACATGAGAGTCTCGTTCAACGTATTACCTTGACATCATCTGGTGCCCGTCTAGATTTCGAGGTCTGGAGAAATGTATCAACGTGAAATAAAATAAAAAGTTATACAAATTTATTTCTGTAATAACTCTAAATGAAATAAATATTAACAAAACTTCAGAAAGAAACCTGGCTTTGTTGTCCAACCAGGCAAATGACATGCACACGATCATTTGTTAAGTAGGACAAACTCAAAAAAAAAAAAAAAAAACTTATTTCATTCTTTATTCATGTCCTATGGGAGGAAAAAAAAAACCCAGATCTAGGTAATGCGCGAAAAAAAAACGTTATCATAAATATCAAACTAATTTTTTTTTTACTCCCTAGCGATAAGAATAAAATACAATGTCGGATTCTGATTATAGATCCGGTAACATATACCTCCTCTGTCCTCCCAGCCACACATAGACACACCTATGACACACACCTTATCCATACACACACTTGTATATATTCATACACACAGCTATATATCCACTGGTTCATGGATAAAACAACGCCGTATTCACCCCTTCTTTTTTTTTCTTCCAAATTTCATCCCATTTACACATTTTATACATTTTTCTCCACCTCTTTCTCTCTCTCTCTCTCTCTTATTCCCTTTTCTTTCATCTTCTATTCCTATTTATATAACGACGAGGTTCGCCCACTACAAACACCCTGGTCTCTCGCTGTCCTCCAGGCCCCCTTCTCCCGCGGCCTTTAATGGAATTTGGGTTGACAAGTGGAACAAATGCAAATCGCTGTTCGTCCCCTAAGGCAGCGCCCCTGTAATGTTCTTATCTCTTTCACCAGACTTGCTCCCGCGTTCTGCATATTTCTGTCTCTCCATCTCTCTTCTATCCAGGTCTCTTCTATCCATCTCTTGTCTTGCTT